GAATTCAAAAAGTCATGTTACTTAGTGGGAATAATTAAAAACCTAATATTGTTAGCTGGTATGACTGTGTTAAGAATAAAATACTCATTACATCCATCCTGCTGATTTTAAGCGTGTTTAGCTTAAATTTAAGAAAGAAAGTCATATACTGAAAAACTACTACGGTATGTACAAAAATGTCATTTTAATTTAAATAAATTCAAGTTAAATCTGAATTTTAAAAAGTCAAATATTATTAAAACTGTACTTCTGAATACAAAAAAGCATCCTATTAAAATATGAAGTACTATTTTGGCATATGAATAACACTAAAATGATATTTTATAAAATTATAGTACACTGTATGGCCATTTTTTAAAAGTTACTGATGACACACTCTCTCATTTATTAGTGTGCGCAGCAGTTATGTTTCAAATTTTTATTTCTTAGAATTTTTTTCTACATATAGGCATTCTGATTCGTTTGTTCTGCCTGTAGTTGTATTGTATTGACACAAGGTGGCAGCATTTGTCATTAAATTAGCCTCAGATTTAACATTTGTTTCGCAACTTTTGCATTTTGAACTACTTAAATGTATCAAAATGTATCATTTAAAACAAAAAGTCATCGAATTAATCAGAAAGAGAGAGAATGAAAAGCAAAATGAACAGACTTACTCTTATCACAGTGTTGTCCAGTATATCCAGACTCACACACACAGCGCCCACTGCTGGACTCACAGCTCACTGCATTACTGGCGCACTGGCACACATTGGCACAGCCTGCACCCCAAAAACCTGCCTCACACACTGAAAAAGAGAATAGGTATTAATAACGTGAACTAATTTAATATTCACAATTCTATGAAGCCTACACTTTAAAAATGAGTTCCACACAATTCCTTTGTCCTAACACAAACCCATTAAGTCAGGGGTGTTCAAACTTGGTCCTGGTGGGCCGGTGTCCTGATGAGTTTAGCTCAAATTGGCTTCAACACACCTGCATAAAGTTTCTAATATATCTAGTAAAAGCTTGATTAGCTGCTTCAGGTGTGTTTGATTAGGGTTGGAGCTAAACTCTCCAGGACACCGGCCCTCCACGACTGACTCCTGGATTAAGTCAACGTAATCGTAATAAACGTAAGCATAAAAGAATTGAGTTGTTCCAAAAAAAAATAATCAAGAATTGTGTTGTTTGAGCTCATTTAAAATAAGTAGTTTGAATAAACAGCGAGAAAAAAATTTGAGTGTATATATTTTTATTTGTGTGTTATTTTATGCCTCACTTTATTTCTAATAAAATGTTATTAATTTTTCAAATAACAAATACACAAAAACCATATTTAAGGTTTAAGTACGCAATAGAAACATTTATATTTATTACTGTCCTTTTAAATGTCAATTTTATTGTTTTATTTTATTGTACCGATTATGCTACATGTGCTGAATGTGTATTATTTAATACATTTTTAATTGATTGTTCATTTATTCACTTTCTTGTCGGCTTAGTCCCTTTATTAATCCGGGGTCGCCACAGCAGAACTTACCACCAACTTATCCAGCACGTTTTTACGCAGCGGATGCCCTTCCAGCCGCAACCCATCTCTGGGAAACATACACAAACACTCATACACTACGGACAGTTTAGCCTACCCAATCCACCTGTATCACACGTCTTTGGAAACCGGAGCACCCGGAAGAAACCCACGTGAACTCAGGGAGAACATGCAAACTCCACACAGAAACACCAACTGAGCCGAGGTGACAGCACTACCTATTACGCTACTGCGTTGCCTTATTTATTGCTTCGTTATTTTATTTTAAGCTCAGAGGATGTATACAATTAATGTAAATTCAAACAATTAAAAATAAATTAGTATAAATTTGGTTATTCAATTATCAAATAATTTTTTAATGTTTTATTTATGCATTTTATTTTATGTGCAGGAATTTCAAATATTTTAATAAAATTGTTTCTAAATTATTATTGTTAAGTGCTTGCCTTGTTGATGTCCTCTAGAACTACAACTTTTTAATTAGTTGTAGTAGTATTAATATTTTATGCACATTTTATGCAATTATGAAATATTTTATTGTTAAACTTTATATTAATAATAGTTTTACACTTTATTTATTTATTTATTTGCTTTGTCTTTTGTCATTGTCATTGAGACTATTTTCAAATATTTTGCTAGAGAACGAGAGAGAGAGAGAGAGAGAGAGAGAGAGAGAGAGAGAGAAAGAAAGACAGGAACCACAATTTTTGGTTTTGAAAACGAGGTAAAACTATATCTATATCTATAGCAAAAACGAGGTAACGGGTTATAGACAAGTGAATAGAAACATTAAACACTGAAGTTCAAACTGCACACAAATCTTTATAGATCCCCAGTCTGAATTCAATCAATATCTCTTCTTCTCTTCAAAAAAACTTTTAAACCGCTTTCCCTCAACCTCACTGCAATTACCCAGAATCCCCTCTGAGAACGGGATAAAAAGGGCCTGTTTTAGCATGAAGAACAAACCGGGATCTGTTTAAGCCATTAAGACAAAAAATGTCATGTAAGTGATCAAGAGAGACTTATAACCAAAACAGACTCTTCAAATATGCTGTCCAAAATCCATTTAGATTTCTCTTCAGCGAACAGAAGGAAACACCATTTATTAAACACACATTTTCAGCATAAATCCAGCTACATAAAACATTTATACCATTACATTTGAAGCTACTGAGGATAAAACTATTGAAACACTTACAGCTGCCATTCATGTGAGTGTTTAGTGCATTTGCTTCTTTAAAGTGATCAGATATATTGTGTGATGAGTGATGGTTCAACCCAGGGATGATTGCTGATGGAGACATTATCGAGTTGTTAAAATAACTGTAGCGTTAAAGAGGTTTTGTGTACTGACATCTAACTGTCACTAGAGGGCGATGCAAAGCTATTTTTGACCAGGGGAAAAAAGAAAAAAAAGAGTAATATGCAGGAATATAGATGAGTAGAACAGATGAATATTCTGTGCACTGCAAAACTGTCAAAAATATAATAATAATTGATATATTATTATACACACACACACACACACACACACACACACACATATATATATATATATATGTATTCTTTATTTATATTTGTTTATATATAATATATTTATTTTATTTACATTTGACTTATGTATATTTATTTATATTTTATTTATTTATTTTTATTTTTATTCATTTATTTATTTATATTTTATTTATTTATTTATATTTATTTATATATTGTTTATTTAATATTTTCTAAAATTCCAGCAATGCAAAGTTAAATAAACGATTAGAATTTTTTTTTTTATGTTTTAATAACTCGTTTCTAATAACTAATGCATTTTGTCTTTGCCATGAGGACACTACATAATATTATTATACTTATTTTGCAATATACTGGTGCAGGGTATTTGGCTTTATGTGCAATTTTAAATTCAAATCCTAAAGCTTTTAGAAATTCAGATTGAAGCCTTAATTAGGTTAACTAGGTAAGTTAAGTTAATTAGGAAAGTCATTGGCCTAGAGTGGTTTGTTCTGTAGCCAATAAAAAATGCCATTTACATCACTTGGAAATATTCTGTAGCCAATAAAAAAATATATAATTACTAATTACATCAATCATTAAAATAATTTAAAAAATACTTTTATTGCAGCCAAAACAAAAATGAATGAGACATTATCCAGAAGAAAAATATGATTAAAATACTGAAAAAATACTGATTGAAAAATGTCCTTGGACTATAAAAAAATTTCCTATGAAATGGTAGAAAACTAATTAACATTTTACAAAAGTTCTTACATTTAATTTATTTTTATATACAGTTAAAGTCAGAATTATTATCCAACCACAGAAATATTTTTCCCCAATTTTTGTTTAACGGAGAGAAGATTTTTTTCAACACATTTCTAATCATAATAGTTTTAATAACGTATTTCAAATAACTGATTTAATTTATCTTTGCCATGATATTTTACTAGATATTGTTCAAGACATTTCTATACAGCTTAAAGTGACATTAAAATTATATTTAGGTTAATTAGGGTAACGAGGCAGGTTAGGGTAATCAGGCAAATTTGTAGAACAATGGTAAAAAGAGCTGCTTTTTAAAAAATTCAAAACTGATATTATTCTAGCCAAAATAAAACAAAAGAGACATTCTCCAGAAGAAAAAATATTATCAGACATGCTGTGAAAAATTCCTTGCTCTGTTAAACATAATTTGGGAAATATTTAAAAAACGGACAAAAAAAACTCAAAGGGGGCTAATAATTCTGACTTCAAGTGTATGTGTGTGTTTGTGTATATATATATATATATAGTTCAGTAGGACAGGGAAGTTTTAGTACCTCACAATTATATCCATAATTTAAATCAAATTGTATACAATAGCACTGCTTACCCATCTGGCATTTCTCTCCATGATATCCAGCTGGGCACATCCTCTGGCACTCTCCAGTTTTAGGGTCACACGACTTCCCATCAGAGCAGTTACACAGCCCGTGGCATCCAACACCAAAATATCCATCGTCACAGTCTTTGCAAGAGCACAACATAATATACATATAAGGACAAAACTGTTCGCTCTAATAGCTCAAAATCTTTTCAAGTTCTTTTTAACAGAGCAAGTAAATCTTTTCACAGTATTTCCTATTATATTATGTTTCTGGAGAAAGTCTTAGTTAAAGAGGCCGTTATGTCAGAAAACTCTGTCATTATTTACTCCCCCTTGTTCCAAACCCGTTTGTGTTTCTTCTGTTGAACACAAAAGAAGATATTTTGAAGAATGCTGGAACCTGTAACCATTGACTTCCATACTCTTTGTTTTTCCTACTATAGAAGTCGATATTTACAGGTTTTCAGCTTTCTTCGAAATATCTTCGTAGGTGTTCAACAGAAGAAAGAAACAAGTGTTGTGAGAGAGAGTAAATAGTGAGTAAATTTTCATTTTGGGGTGAACTTTCCCTGTAAACGGCACTTTGCGAAATATTAAAAACAAAAGAATACAAATTTTTTACACAATGGCTTCTAATTTTGTCTTCAACTATATGTCTGTCTTCCTTATATAACTGTTTCAAATGCCTCCATCACCGTTTTACCCACCTGTCTGGCAGCGGTCGCCATGGTAACCAGGTTTACACAAACAGGTGCCCATTTGGGGATCACAAGAGAGAGAGTTTTCCTGCACACATTCACACTCCTCTGAACAACCCGCACCATGGCTCCATTTGGGACATGCTGAGGTGGAGAAACAATATTTTAACATATCAGCAAAACTCATTCTTTCATTCATTTCCTCTGCTTTTCCGGGGCTGGGTGGGAGGGGCAGCAGTCTTAAGAAAGAACTCCAGACTTCCCGCTCCCCAGACACTTCCTCCAGCTTCTCTGGGGATCCTGAGGGGCTTCCAGGCCAGCTGAGAGACATAATCCTTCCAGTGTGTCCTGGGTCTTCCCCATGGCCTCCTCCCAGTGGGACATGCCCAGAACACCTTCCTAGGTAGGCATCCAGAAGGCATCTGGAACAGATGCCTGAGCCACCTCAGCTGACTTCTCTTGATGTGTAGGAGCAACGGCTCTACTCTGAGCTCCTCCCGAGTGACAGCTCCTCATTAAGCTATCTATAAGAGTGCGTCCTGCCACCCTGCGAAGAAAACTCATTTCAGCCACTTGTATCTGGGATCTTGTTCTTTCAGTCATGACCCAAAGCTCATGACCATAGGGGAGAGTAGGAATGTAGATTGACCGGTAAATTGAGAGCTGTAACTTTCGGTAAAGCTCCATTTTCACCACATTGGACCGGTACATCGACTGTATTATTGCTGCCGCTGCGCCTGTCAATATTATGCCCCATCCTTCCATCATTCATGAATAAACCCCAAAATACGTGAACTCCTCCGCCTGGAGTAAGGATTTTCCTCCAACCTGGAGATGGCAAACCACCTTTTTCTAGTGGAGCATCATAACCTCGGACTTGGAGGTGCTGATTCTCATCCCAGCTGCGTCACACTCGACAAACTGCCCCAGTGCATGCTGAAGGTCCATGTTCGAAGAAGCCAACAGAACAACATCATCTGTGAATAACAGAGATAAAATCCTGTGGTCCCTGAACCTGTCCCCCTCCAGCCCATGGCTGTGCTTTGAAATTCCATGCATTAAAATTATGAACAGAATTAGTGACAAAATATGATATAATATATATATTGTGGTTAATAATGTTAATAAACAAATAAGAAGCCATTCAAACAAAACCTGTTTTTCTTCACTTTTCTAAAGTTTTTCTATGTAAATATGCGCTTGATGGTCACGTGTGACGCCTGTTTCACACCGCAAGCGTCAGCGGCGCGTGAGCAGAGCGTGAGCAGCGCGTATGTCGAGCAGTAGCAGCACGCAGGCGTTTGCCTTTCACACCAGCTGCGTCTGCAGCGCGCAGCTCTTCGGCAGCTGCTGCTGAGATCAACCTATCTCTGTCTATTCTATCTAGTTACCCCTCTATATACAAATACACTTTTTAAACTTTTCATCTGTACCAAGGCCCCTCCTATGCTGTTTCATTAACCTGCAAATGTTTATTTTACAAATTTTATAGATCAAATAGTACTGTATGCTTCTAAAGCTAACTTATATGAGAATTGTCTACAGTCAGAAGACAATCGCCTGTGATATCATGTCATTTGTTTTTTGATTATCAGGTTGCTGTAGACCTAGTTATAATCATATTTATACAATATAGTTATAATGATATTTATACATGATCAAACTAGTGTTAATTTCTCCGCTTCAGTGATGTCCAGCGGCAGAATAACAGCTCGTTAATTCATGCTCGTGCAGATGATGAGACGGACAAAAGTAATTAATGCATGCCATTCTTTTACTTATTTTCGTGTTGTCAGATTCACAGTGCAAACAGCTCCCGGTAGGAATAACTCGAGTGAACATAAAACAAAGCCGATTAAAACTTTCTTGCTCTGCTAGCTGCACAGAACACAGCGAGCTCACATAATCCAGCATGCGTGTCGCACTACACTACCCACAATACACTTCGCTATGGACTACAAATCCCGTAAATATTCCATTTCCCCTCTCCTACAACACTAGTGTGCAACTTAAGCAAAACTGATAGTAAAATAGTTTTACATTTGGTTTTGTAGTTCGGGCCTAAATAAATGTTTGTTGCCGTTTTTAATCGTTTTAAGTTCATTTGAATGACTATATATAAACCATTTGACATTATTAACGCATTTATTGGGTAAAATTGTTAGTTTTTACTGTCATTCAATGTGTTTTGGTCATTCTCAATGCACTGTCACTTTAATTGAGCGTGAGCAGCGCGTCAAAAATAGACCCAGCGCCGAAACTATCGCTGCACTGCTGCTTCGGCGACGCTCACGCCTCGCTCTGACGCGCTGCTGCTGCGTGCGGTATGAAAGCTCTAATCTGTTAACATGGACGCCGAAAACACACGCGCTGCTCACGCTCTGCTCACGCACCGCTGACGCTTGCGGTGTGAAACAGGCGTGACAGTTACGCTTGTATTTTCCTTTCTTTTTTTTGCATGTACCTCCTCACAAGTGTCATGTTAACTTTTACATGCATCATCACTCATCAATATCAGTTCCAAAGCAGTGGACCAATCAGAAGAGCTCAGAGGTTAAACAAACCTTGCAAGCTTCTGTTTACAGTAGCAAGTTTGCATTACGTTATTATTTTGTTACAGTCCATGATTACAATGGTTATATTTGACAGCAACATGGCTGAGGAGATGCTTTTTTAAAAGTAAATTAGTGAATAAAAACATTCCTGAGCGCCACGTCTGACTTTTTAGACACAAAGAAGCTACAAAAGCAATCTGAGCAACTGTGTTTTGACCCACGGTAGAAGCTTAAAACATTTTACGGGGGTTTCACAGTAGCACTTTTGGTGTGAGTCAGCTGAAGTCAGAGTTTGGTTCATTTGGATAATCAGTATGTGAACACTTATTCATTTCATTTTCTTTCGGCTTAGTCTCTTATAAATCAGGGTTCACCACAGTGGAATGAGCCGCCAACTATTCCGGCATATGTTTTACGCAGTGGATGCCCTTCCAGCCGCAAACTGGGACACACACACTTACACTCTCACACATACACTTTGGCCAATTTAGTTTATTCAATTCACCTATAGCGCATGTCTTTGGACTGTGGGGGAAACCGGAGCACACGGAGGAAACCCACACGAACATGGGGAGAACATGCAAACTCCACACAGAAATGCCAACAGGCCCAGCTGGAACTCAAGCCAGTGACTTTCTTACTGTGAGGTGACATTGCTAAATGTGTATGTGAACACACACACACACACACACACACACACACACACACACACAAATAGTACTATGGCAAACCAAATATTGAAGTCAATGATTACATGTTTTCGACTTTCCTCAAAATATCTTCCTGTTTTCAACAGAAGAATCTCACAGGTTTGAAACAAGGGAAAGGTGTCACTTAATACCAGGTGTAAATCTGGTATTAGTATAAGACTTACGCAGATGGCAGAATTTGCCGTAGAGTCCCGGTGTGCACAGACAGCCTCCGTATAGACGATGGCAGTGTCCATTATTGGGGCAGTTGCACCTCCTCCGACAGAGTCGCCCATAAAAACCCTGCGGACAACCTGATCACATCACATCACATGATATTAGTAAAATTCAACAGTGTTCCTCTGGAAATACATCATCACATGACAAAAAGATCACAACACGTGCAAATAGCATGGAAATGTTTCAAGGACCCAAAAACGTGACACGACTGCTTTGATTTGCTTATTGTCCCATGACTATTTCTCAGTCAAGTAGTAGGTAATCTTTGAGTTTTTTTTGTTTATTTTAACATCCTGATTACACCATTCCCTTGTCTTTGGTTTATTATTAGCCTAAATTAGGGCCGGGTCGATAAACAGTATTATATTGAATCACAATCAAATTTATGTCAATAATAATGATAAGCTCAGGACTTTACTCTATATTGATCTAAGAGCCACAGCAGAAATGTGCAACAATAAGAATCTAAAAGTGTGTTGATATTAGAGTTGTACCAAATTTTCGGCCACTGAAAATTTATCGGCCCAAAATATGTTATGCCATTTAATGGACCCTCAAATTTTTGTGGCTTCAGTCATTTTTGGGGTATACTTAAATCTGGAAGCATCAACAACTTATATCAAAATATATATCGTTTTGGTTTGGTATGGAAAATAATTATTGAGATTGCATTTTTGCCATATCGCCCAGCTTTAGCCTAAACAGCCATGTCCGTCACGTGTTAGGGTCCCCTTGAAACATTTCTGTTGTGTTCTCTGCTATTTGCAAAAAAAGCTGGCTTTTTCCTAATTTGTTTGCATTGTGAGAAAATGCAGCGAGTTTTTTAAAATGTGTTTGCATTGTGAGGATTTGCAACACGTATGATGTCAAACCGATGAGGATCTTTTCTTAATTCGCTGGCTTTTTTTTAAATTGCATGTATTTTCTTAAATTGCAGCACATTAAGCTCTCTCGGCCACCAATATTTTTTTTACGTGTTATTTATTTATTTATTTATTTATTTATTTATTTATTTGTTTGTTTGTTTGTTTGTTTGTTTGTTTATATATTCAATCATTCATTTATTTATTTGTTTGTTTGTTTGTTTGTTTGTTTGTTTGTTTGTTTGTTTCATTTATTATGTTAGCCAAGTGTGCATTAATATTTATTATAATGCATTAATAATTATTATAATTTAATATTAATTATATTTACCATGAACATATATACATTTTAATGTGCTAATTTGATGCTCAAGAAACATTTCTTATTATTGTTGATAAAAACGCTTAATATTTTAGGGACACTTTGCTTGTTTGCACTTGTAAGAAACAGGAAAAAAAAAACATTTGTATTAAAATAAATACTTTCAATGTCCTATATATTACGTTAGCACATTCTGTCCTCTACGTTTTGTACTCTGACAATAAAGGTTCTGCTGAAAAAAACGATACTCTCTTCCCAAACAATTCAAACCAGTAGTGCTCTATTTAACACCATAGGAAACATCCAAAATGAACAGCACTTACAATACATGCAACTAAAGATGAACTAAACTATCAAGAACTATCTTGAACTAAAAATCAATTTATCTAAATACTACTGTTATTAAAAAAATGTTGCTTTATTTGTAAAAAAAAAATAATAATAATAAATAAATATACATTGTGCTTTAATGGTACTACCAAGACACTTGCAGACTATCCAACAAGCAGCAGCACAGAAAAGACAGGAAAGCAAAGAAATAAATCTCCTCACATTCCTTTTTCTTTTCCTCATGAGACAACATTAGAAGACAAAAGAGCTGAAGTATTATGAAAACAAGACAGAACACTGAAATATGACAAAGTAAAGAGGAAATATCATTAAAAACTGTTTAAAAATGGAAGTTGTCAAAGTTAAAAGCCAGGCTGAGACATAAAGCATGTGTAGCTGTATACCGTTTTCGCAGTGCAGACCATGGACCCCTGGAGGACACAAGCACTTCCCGGTCACTGGGTCACAGCGGCCCCCGTTCTTACAAACACACAGACTGTTACACTCAGCACCATATGTGCCCTCAGGACAAGCTAAAAGACAGAGAGACAAAGAGAGAATCATAAGAAAATACATGTTTAGTGTCCTCAGAGGAACCAAAAAGAAATACAGCAGCATACTTCTGTTGACTCTAGGGTGAATTAAAAAAACGAGACTACATGGAAAAAATGTACATGTATATAGCGCACAGTGATGAGTCTGGAGGTGCTCTTATAGCTCTTCAACATGCTGGGCTATAAACTAGTTGGGTTATATAGGAATACTTCGTTTTGAGCCACTGAACCGAACCCAAAGGGGCTTGATGGGATTTTTGTGTTTAAGGGTAAATATGACAAGATTGGGAGCTGTATGTCAGATAGATGGAGAGAAGAAGTAAAAAAATGTGCTGTGTGTGTTATTAAGCTATTATGCTGAGTCTAATGTTCTGTCATTAACATACATTTTTATGTGAAACAAATAAGAGTTTACAGTTAGGTTATAATAAAATGCTTTTACTGTTTTCAACACTGAGTAAAACATTCATTGTTGATGACATTTCTTCAAAATGTAAAGTCAAATGTAAAGACAAATTATTTTCAGTTGTCAGGCATCTCGTAAAAACAAGTAACATGTTTCTTGTTGACTTTGTGGTCATATAAGTCTGGTAAAATAACATTAATTGTACAATGCATTTGAATATTTTTATTATTATTATTGTTTTTATTATTATTTTTTTTCCAATTTTATAGTCCGTAAGTACATAATGTTTAGTCTTTTAACCCTTGTGGTCAGGCTCCATAACCAATTCTAAAACTTTGGTACAAGTAAACCCCTTTCTAATGTTGCTTGCGGCTCTTCTCACCAACAAATGACCAGCATAATGCATGCAAATCCACATACCTTTTTGTTTAGTCAATATGTCTCAACATCAAAAGGCAGCATTTTTACAGCAATTTAATTTAGAGAATATTTTCATCTCTATCATAACAAAAGGGTAGAAAATTTGCCCAAAGTGTATAGTTTGTTTGTATAGAGTTTTTTTTTTAAAGCATTTTCCCTAAATGTCTCAAAATAAGATTTGTCACCAAAAATCATCCGGCTAGCTGAAACACAGAAATGGTTATGGCCAAACAAAACTTAAAATCCCCCCAGAGTGGATAAAAACATCCCCAACAGCACATAAGGGTTAAAATCGATTAAAAGTCTTGTAGGGTTTTCCGGTCTCGACACACACACACACAAACTATAAAACATTTGCATTCAACACAATTACTTGTGTTTTTTTATTTTATTTTCTATTTTGACTTTAATTTCAGGTAAGATTTTAGTGTGTTTGGTGGTCCCGGTTTTTCCACAAAATTAGGCTTTTTTTTTAAATGCAGTTGCACAAAAAAATAAGGTAGCGTTTATTTTTTGGGGATACTTTCCTGATGTGCTGCAGCAGCCAAAATGTTTCTTTCACTTGAATACAAAATACAAATGCCATCATTTCTTAATGAATATTTATCTTGGTATGCATACCTGGCAACCCCAAAACAGCTGCAAGTGAGTGAGTAAAGTCATCTGATGACACGCCACATATTAAATGAGCAGAATGTCAGTTATACACCCTCATCTGAGAAAGGTACTTAGAAGAGTTATTTGGTGTGCGGAAAGTCAGTCAATACTTTTAACAAGTTTACTATATCTACAACTAGTAGTAGTAGTAAACTTTATTGTCCTTAACAGGAAATTTGTGATAGGCATCACCATATTGCTGCAGAAATTCCATAAAAACAACATAAAATACAGCAGTTACAAAATGTATAATGCTAATTAAGATAGACTCTTGTTAAATAAACCCACTGAAACGGGTACAAAGGATTTCTTGTCACAGTTTAACCTACACTTTGGGGCTCTATATCTTTTATCAGAGGGAAGCAGTTCAAAATGTGAAAACAAAAGAATGAGTTTGTTCGTTCACAATTCTTTCCACCTGATTGAGGACACAATTCTCATATAAAGCTGGAGGTTTAAAATATTCAACAATTTTTCATCCTGTCTTTAAGAGATGCATCAACTTAGATTTAAACTGAAAAGATAGGTTGACAAACCACACTGTGAATCCATATCTAACAATGCTTTGAAGAACTGCTTTAAAAACAACATCATGAGCTTCTTGTTAACTCCAAAAAGATGCAACCTCCGTAAAAAATACAATCTCTGATGTAAACGAGAACAAACCAACTCAATGTGTTTTCCATGTGAAAGATATGTCGATGTAAATTCCCCAAGTACTTATAGGTCATAGGATGGTCGTGTACAACCACTTGACAATGGTCACCTATACACTTTGGGTCAAATACTAGCTCTTCTGTTTTCTTAGTATGTCCTGTTGTCTTATTATTTTTAGCCTATTTATATCACACCACTCAACAAACCGGCTAATTTCTGACTGGTAGATAACATTAATATTAGTAATACACTTCTCGGTGTATCAGAGAAGATTTCCCTTTGTGGGAGTTCAGTATTTCACTTTGGTTGGATTAAGAAAAATATTGGTCTACTTTTTATTGCTTTTAGGTTGTCATTTGGCTGAAAAATTCTCTTGGACCTGGCAACCCTGGTCTTTGGGGGCTGGAATCCGAATAACACCCTAATCCTCAGGTCAAACTCGTTGCCTCCAATTAAAATAGAAGCCTTCAGCCAATCAAATTTTAACATCTACCAACCCCCAATAGGAAAAATATGGAAGACCTAACTTTTACAGGGTTCCAAGGTTTCAGTTGAAGTTAGAATTCATTCCCTGTAAAAAAAAAAAAAAAATGCTGGGCTCCACACAATCCCTTTACGTTATCCCAACACAAATTGATTAAGTTTACTTAATCGCTTTTACAAATTTAAGTGGATTGAACATAAAAAATTAAGTTGCCCCCCCAAAAAAACGTAAAAATTGTGTCATTAGTCATTTTAAATAAGTCGTTTGAACAAGCAGCAAAGGTAATTGTTTAAGTGTTAATAACAGAAAATAAAAACACTCACTGTCATTACAGATGAGTCCCGTCCAGCCGGGTGGACAAACACAGCGGTCCTTCTCTGCTGCACAGACTCCTCCATTAACACAGTCCTCACAGCTCACACTGCAGTCGTCCCCAAACACTCCCGTCTCACACACTGACACACATAGAAACTTGACTATTTATTGAATTTATTACATCGGTTTATAAATATAATCCATTTATTGAATTGACTTGACGTACACACTACTTAAAAACAGTGAAGGCATTAAAATTTTATTAACAGTAAAAGTAAACCTGAAAGAAAATGAATTAAGCGGTTTCTCTTACTACTCTTGCTGATGGTGGTCAGCTCTTCTCTGTGTTCTGGGTCGTGTGTGTCTTCTGGGTAGTAAGAGTGTGTGTCATCATCATACGGTCTATGTAAAGCAGCGGTGTAATGCAGCAGTTGAGGAGGTCGGCGGAAGAGTAAGTTCGGCAAATGCAGAACCTCCGGCTCAACTTCACTGCCGAACAGATCTTCATCCTCCTCTTCCTGCTCCACTTCCCTCTGATAGAGAGCTAAACATGCAAGATACAGAATCAATGAGACTTAAGAAAAATAGAAAACACAGTGACCGGTGTTAGGGAAAGTAATGTTTTGACAGTAATGCTTTACAATATTGAGTAACTCCCCAAAAGAGTAAATAGTTGCATGTGTTACGGTACTTTTGAGTTACTTTTTCTGACCTGGCTGAGGCTGGATCTCTGTCAGAACTTCCGGGGGGGGGGGGGGGGTTTCTTCTTCTTTATTTAATAGAAGAGCTATATTAGAAGAGTGTGTATACCAACACACTACCTTCAATTACCTTACAAAATTACTATAGGATAATGTTATCTTTGGAGAATTTCCTGATCCCAGAGCTGTACATGGCGTATATACAGATTAATGAACGTTTAAAGTAATGCGCTTGCTACTTTTGTACTTTTTGTCTTATTAAAAAGTAAAATCAATGTCCACTCTGAAAATACTCGTTTCTTTTTCTTTATTGTGTTCAAAATAATAAGAATATTTCCATTGCACAAATATAAGGCTCTGCCGTCTTTCTTTCTGCCTGTTTCGGCATACTCTCACTGTATACAGGATTCAACGTGACTACGATTATTTCATTTTTTAAAAGCAAATGAACTAAACTAAAAAGTAACTAAAATATTATTACTTAATCTTGGAAAGTACTGCATTAATGTACCTGTTGCTTAGTACAATAAAATTATTATGTAACTTACGTTGTGATGTATTATCCCCCAACACTGACAGTTATTGTTGTTATTACTGACAGTTTATTATTGTTAAATACAAATTAATAAAAAATACAAATTAATAAAAAATATACAATAAAATATTTTAGCTACTGTATAATTATTAAGATAAAATAAACTAACCTAAATATAATTTTATATATATATATATATATATATATATATATATATATATATATATATATATTTTTTTTTTTTTTTTTTTTTTTAATAACATACTGTAAATGTTACCGGAAATAAAATATTATATAAAAATATTATATAAAAACTAACTTGCTATACACATTCATTTGATATAAAATTTAATAAAAATTTAAATAACAATAAAAATGAATAATCTACACAAACAGTTACACAGCTATCAAATGACAAAAATACACAAGTTAAAAACTTTAACAAACATTTTAATGTAAATAAAAAATGTCAACCTTATTCCAGTTATTAATAAAAAACCCAATATTATGTCAGCAATACTGGCAATATTAAATTGATATCCATTTAAAGCTGAAATAAAATTAACAAACTTTATTCATTCATTCATTTTCTTTTCAGCTTAGTCCCTTTATCAATCAGGGGTCACCACAGCGAAATTAAGCCCCAATTTATCCAGCATATGTTTTGCACAGCGTATTACCTTCTAGCTGCAACCCATCGCTGGGTAACACCCATACACTCTCATTCACACACATAGATACAGACAACGGTGGCTCAGGCATGGTTACTCAGTGGTTAGCACTGTCGCCTCACAGGAAAGAAGGTCACTGGTTCGAGTCCCGGCAGTGCCAGTTGGCATTTCTGTGTGGAGTTTGCACGTTCTCCCTGTGTTCACATGGGTTTCCTCCAGGTGCTCTGCTTTCCCCCACAGTCCAAATACATGTGCTATTGGTGAATTGAATAAGCTAAATTGGCCGTAGTGTGTGAATGGGAGAATTCCCCAGTACTGGGTTGCAGCTGGAAAGGCATCCATTGCGTAAAACATATGCTGGATAAGTTGGTGGGTCATTCCACTGTGGTGACCCCTGATGAATAAAGGGACTAAGCTGAAGGAAAATGAAAGAATGAATAATCCAGTGAAATATTTCCTCAGTGGTTTAACTGGAACCAAAAATACCAAAACAGAGACATCTAAAGACATATAAAATTAACTCAAACTATTAATAAACCTCAGAATAGTTACTCAGTGATGCTAAAATTACTATTAAAATATGATAAACAATTTTACAAATCCCTGTTTATAGATTCAGCTAAAGAAAGTCAAACTTATGCACTTACGAGAGCAGGATTTCTGGTCATAGTCCAGCCTGAAGCCCACCTGACAGAAACACTCATAAGAGCCCAAAGAGTTGACACAGTACTGAGAGCAGCCTGACGTCTCAGACACACACTCGTCAATGTCTGAAGAAACACACATCTATGTCAGACTATATGCACGGTGTATATATAGTTTTACATTTTTAAAAAAACATTTTAAGGTTAAAATTATTAGCTCCCTTAAGCATTTTTTTATTTTCTACGAACAAATCATCATTATACAATAACTTGCCTAAATACTCTAACCTGCCCAATTATGCTAGTTAAGTCTTTAAATGTCACTTTAAGCTGTATAAGTGTCTTGAAAAAATATCTAGTCAAATATAATTTACTGTCATCATGGCAAAAATTAAAGAAATCAGTTATTAGAAATGAGTTATTAAAACTATTATGTTTAGAAATGTGTTGGAAAAAAATTGTCTTTCTGAACATTAAAAAAATATACAGGGGGTAATAATACAGGAGAGCTAATAATTCTGATTTCAACTGTATGTGATCCAATTCACTTTAGATAAATAAGGCAGATCAGCAAGTAAAGCACACACATACACACACACCGTCACATGTGCATCCGTTGGGCGTGTATCCTGGTCTACAGCCGCACTCGTAGCCTCCTGGGTAGTTTTTACAGAAATGACTACAGCAGGCCTCTCCGTTTTCACACTCATCCATGTCTGCGGAAGACACACACAAAATACAGAAACATTTGGTCAGATGACACATGATCATATGACATGTACAGTTGAAGTCAGAATTATATTAATCAAAAATAAATATAGCTTAAGGGGGCTAATAATATTGATCTTAAAATGTTTTTAAAAAATTTAAAACTGCTTTTATTCTAGCCAAAAATAAAACATATAAGACTTTCTCCAAAAGAAAAAATATTATCAGACATACTATGAAAATTTTCTTGCTCCGTTAAACATCATTTGGGAAATATTTAAAAAGAAAATCACAGGAGGGCAAATTATTTTGACTTTAAGTACATGTATAATATGTGTTTAGCTACTATGCAGCATTTAAACATATGTAAATGACAGAATGGTGATTTTTCAACTACTCTTTTTTTTCGTCTTTCGTTAAATTATGTAATTTTGTAAAAAAAAAAAAAATGAGGATTTAAAAACTGACACTGTAAAAATATTTATTAATTATTAATTAACAGGTTCTCCATTTCGTGATTCAAAGTTTTTCTTTTGTAAGTTTATTTACATTGCATAATGTGACCTTGATCTCTTCTCTGCAGTTTAACAAAGTGATTATATTTTATTGAATAAGGAAAAGTGTTTGGGAAAGTTACTTTCAAAATTAATGATTTACAATATTGAGTAACTCCCCAACTAATTGTTACTTATTTACTTTTTATGGTAAATCAAGCATTTTGCAACATCTTTTTGTTTCCAGCCCCAAATTTACATACAGTAATGTTCATGCATAATTCATAATGTCAAAATAACTATATGGTCTTATGCTGTGGTCACAACAGAGTTTGAGCATGCAAAATTCTGTCATGCAGCGCTGTGAAAAGGAGCGGGATAAAAAAAGTAGACATAAAAAAGGAGCGATTGATCCATGTTTTAAATTTCGCTCCAGAGAGGTCATGTTCTGATTTTCTATTGCTCTCATGCTCTCATCACATAATGCGATTTCGCAGACCAAACTTGAACTTTGCAACTCAGCGAACTGCTAAACTTGCAGAACCAGCATGTGTTTCCGTCTGTGGCATTGGCATGCGTGTGAATGGAAAAGTGCAGTGCGACTTTAGACCTATCATGCGGCCTACATACCTATGCATGTCTTAAGGTCTTCAGCGAGCTGGTAGCCTTGGTTGCAGGAGCACAAGGGCCCGCTGGTGGTGTGTTCACAGCGATGAGAGCAGCCACCGTTGTTTTTCTCACAGCCGTTCACAATCTCCATCTCTATTCCTGCAGGATACGTCACTTCACATTATTCACGTTTGTGTCCAGAAGTGAAAACCTTTTTCATTTCTCAAAAATTTTACTCATTTTTAACAACCGATAAACCTTTGAAGTTTGTTAATGAATTTTATATGGAAATTATTTTAAACTATTTTTTTTAATATTCATACTAAATTACCATATTCGCACAAAAAAGTGCATTACCCATAATAATAATAATAATAATAATAATACATTCCATTTCATTATTGTTTGCCTTTCAAACCACTCATGGTCACCGTACATAAGACTTAATATAAATAAGAACAATAAATAATTATGAACAATTAAAAAAACATTTAAAAGCAGCATTTACAAAATGACAACAATAAAGAAAATACACAATAATATTAAAAACAGTATTTTGAATTTTCCCATGATGAAAAAATTCCATGACGGATTTACGGCAAGAAATGCTTTAAAAATAATATTCTGACACCCATATGAAATTTTACAAATTATACATAAATAAAATACTTGCATAATATACACTTACCGCCACTTTATTAGGTACACCATGTCCAACTGTTTGTTAACGCAAATTTCTAATTAGCCATTCACATGGCAGCAACTTCATGCATTTGAGATCAAGAAGATCTGCTGCAGTTCAAACCGAGCATCAGGATGGGGAAGAAAGATGATCTAAGTGACTTTAAACCTTGATGCCAGAGGTCAGAGGAGAATGGCCAGACTGGTTCCAGCTGATAGAAAGGCAACATTAACTCAAATAACCACTCATCACAACCAAGGTATGCAAAAGAGCATCTCTGAATCGGATGGGCTACAGCAGCAGAAGAGCGCACGGAGTGCAACTGTCAGTTAAGAACAGGAAACGGAGGTTATAATTCGCTCAGGCTCACCAACATTTGACAATAAAGGATTGGAAAAACGTTGCCTGGTCTGATGAGTCTCCATTTCTGCTTCGACATTCGGATGGTAGGGTCAGAATTTAGCATCAACAACATGAAAACATGGATCCATTCTGCCTTCGGTTCAGGCTGGTGATGGCGTTGTAATAGTGTCGGGATATTTTCCTGGCACACTTTGGGCCCATTAGTACCAATTGAGCATTGTGTCAACTCCACAGCTTACCTGAGTGTTGTTGCTGACCATGTCCATCCCTTTATGACCACAGTGTACCCATCTTCTGATGGCTACTTTCTGCCGGATCACTCACCGTGTCATACAGAGTGAATCATCTCAGACTGGTTTCTTGAACATGACGATGAGTTCACTGTACTCAAATGGCCTCCACAGTCACCAGTTCTTAATCCAATAGAACATCTTTGGGATGTGGTGGAACGGGAAGTTCGCATCATGGATGTGCAGCTGACACATCTACAGCAACTGCGTGATGCTATCTTGTCAATATGGACCAAAATCCTTGAAGAATTTTTCCAGTACATTGTTGAATCTATGCCAAAAAAGATTAAGCCAGCTCCGAAGGCAAAAGGGGGTCCAACCCGGTACTACTAAGGTGTACCTAATAAAGTGGCCGGTGAGTGTATGCACATTCTGTAATATTGTGAAATATACAATATATTTATAAACATTTTCAATGAAGATTAATATTTCTGCTGATTTATTTTGCAGTGTTTCACGGGATTGTAGTTCCTTGTGTAGTTCTTAAAGGGACAGGTCCCCCAAAAATAAAAAATTCTAATCATTTAGTCTTCCTTTGCTTATCACAAACCTGTTTGAGTGTTTATTTTAGTGAACATATCCCTTTAAGAACACATCTTTGTCTTTTTGTCTGATTCGTCTGTGCTTCAAATCAAAGTTTATCATGTTGTGATTCTCCTTGTAGATGATAGATTTGGTTTATGTCCTTATGTTTAACAAAGACTTCTTTTAAAATCTCTATAGGGAAAAAGTAATGAGAAAACCATGTGGAAAAAGTGGGTGGGCACTAAAGCGCTCTATTAAGATTTTTAGATCTCTGATTGGTGCCTGTCAAACACACAGACCAATCACAGACTGTCGGCTCCAGCAAAACACTTCCACATGTGAGTGAACTGAAGTTAATCTGATAATGGTTTCAGCTTCATTACTTTCCTCTTTATTTCCACAGCGCTTTTTACAATGTAAATTGTGGCAAAGCAGCTTAACTAGGATGAAGAAAATATTTTTATTACTCTACATTACTGTCAAAGACTCACGGTAGCACTGTTTTCCATCAGCACCCAGTTCAAATCCCGGGTTACACACACAGCGGAAAGATCCCGGTATGTTCACACAGCCATGAGCGCACTTAGTCTGACCGGACACACATTCATCAATGTCTGTGAGAGAAAAACATTGAGAATTACAAGATATGTCAGTGTAAAGCTAACTAATACTTGTATTTTGCATTGTGTGTGTGTGTGTGTGTGTGTGTGTGTGTGTGTGTGTGTGTGTGTGTGTGTGTGTGTGTGTGTGTGTGTGTGTGTGTGTGTGTGTGTGTGTGTGTGTGCGTGCGTGTGTTTAGCCACAGCAGGCTCTTCATGGGGTCACATGAGGCTCTATCATAAAGTCTGGACTTAAATGAGGTCCAGACAAACATGTGTACACATGACTCAGATCAATGGATTTATGCTGACCTGCACACATAGTAACTAACAGCAGGCTCATTACAACAGTAGTGTGTGTGCGTGTGCGTGTGTGTGTGTGTGTGTGTGTGTGTGTGTGTGTGTGTGTGTGTGTGTGTGTGTGTGTGAAACAGCAGGACACAGAGTTTTATGAGATGAAGAGAGATTTTCGGTGGCCAGTTGAATTGCAGTGAACTGCAAATAAATAAAATAAAATATGAAAAAAAACTTAATAAATAAAAAAAATTTAATTACAATAAAATAAAAATGAAATAAAGTAAAAATATTATTTAAAAAAGAATATAAAATGAAACAATAAATAAAATGAAAAATAAAATAAAGCAAAAAACATAATAATATAAGTAAAATAAGATAAAAATATAATAAAAGTAAAACAAAATTAAAAATGTAAATAAAAAATTAAATTAAAAAAACAATATAAAACAAATTTATAATAAATACAATTATAATAAATAAAATTAATTACTAATAATACATAAAATCACACTTATAATAATAAAAAAATACTAATAATAATTTAAAAAATGAAACGAACTAAAATTAAATAACACAAACTAAAATTACAGAAATAGTAAAAACTGTATGACTAACTAATACTAACTAATAATGGTGCGGTAGCACTTCAGGATGTCCCAAGTATGAATCCCAGCTCAAGGACATTTTCTGACCTCTCTCCCACTTCGCTTCCTGTAAAACTATTGTCCTATATAATTAAGGCAAAAAGGCCAAAAAAAAGTTTTAATTAAATTAAAATAAATTAAATAAAAAAATTAATTAATCAAATAAAATGAGAATTAATATAAAATAATAAATAAAATATTAATAAAAAATGAGTAATAATTAAATGAATAAATAAATAAATAACAAAAATATATAAAATAAGACACAAAACATAAAAAACATAAAAAGAAAATGATAAATCAATAAATAAAATAAATACTACCATTAAATAAAAATATACTTAGAATAATAATAATAAGAAGAAGAAGAAGAAGAAGAAGAAGAAGAAGAAGAATTAAATAAAATGAAAAAAAAAATTCTCACCCCACCCCAAACCCTTAAACAATGCTTTATAAAATTAAATACAAGTAAATTATTTACAAAATCTAAACTAAACAAAACAGATCAATCAAAATTAAACAAAAGTAAGCCAAAGTACTATAAAAAAATTACGCAAAAAAAAAAAAAAATAGTGAGTACAAGATAAATTAAATTAAAATAAATTAATCCAAACTAAACTAAAATAATACAATAACAAACACACTAAACTGAATTCCGATAAACAGAAGTATAACATAAGTATAAATGTTCATTCTTCTTGTGTAAATTAATATTTATTTAATATACATTTTGGTGGAATAAAACTACATTATATGTACTGAAAACAAATGTTTGATATTGGCTAATTATTCTAAAGGTGTAGTATTTGGGTCTAGCACTGGACCATCAAATGAACACTATTTATTTACCTTTAAATCTATCTATTTGATAATCCGTGTAATGCTCACAAACCTTCACATCTCCTGAGGTCATTTGCCAATGTGAATCCTGTTCTGCAGCTGCACTGAACCAGTCCATTCACATCAGTGCAGATTTGAGAACATCCGCCGTTATGATCTTTACAGGGGTCCTTCACTGAGGAGAACACAGGATACACCCTCATAAACATCACAACGGGACGTTAGTCAAAGATGGCGCATGCATGTCGACTCACGTTCACAGTGCTTTCCGTCTCTCTTGAGCTGGTAGTTGCTTCGACATTCACACTTGTACTGTTCGTTTCCCAAATCCACACACTTGTGTTCACATCCGCCATTCTTCACTGAGCAAGAGTTCACCGCTGGAAATAGTCACATACACTTAAAATGAATTTTATGATCATGAAAAAAATCTATATGGTACCATCTGAGTGTTGGGTTTATGGAGTACAATGGGAAAAAAAAAAAAACATTTTCAGTCTTTCTTGCCTAATTGAATTCTTTTTTAATAATTTTGACCAGTTTTACACCACCTGAAATAACGCTTCAGTGTGTGAAAATTATTTAAAAATAAAATTATACATATGATAATGATAAAGATATACAAAGTAAGATAAACCAAGAAAAAACTTGTTTTATATTATAATATAAGAAGTAAACTTAATAAAAATACAATAGAAATTTTTACTTCAGAGCTTAGTGTTTAATTCCATGTGTCAGTTGCTTTTCTAAGTGAAAACTAAGAGAGAAAAAAACTTGGAAGTCTGTAAACAGTTCTGAAACGATCTGGCTACCAATCCTTATCTCCTGATACACCAGAAAAACAATGTAACGAATACATGAGAAATCACCAACAAATTGTTATATAATGGCATTACTTACCCTTGTAATGGGGAGCTCAGATGTTCCAATTAGACATGAATTAAGACAAACTTTTGTTCTGAAGAAAAATAAATTCTCATTCCTACTCTCTCTAATACAGTGTTGCAATAAAGGATGAGGAAATATACCACAAATTCAGTTCAAATAATCAAAGAGTCTTGCAAACATGGTTCATGTCCATTACTTGAATGACACAGATGGCGTTGTAGGCTATTTTATAAAAGCATATGCTGCTCAAGGTTTATAACAGAAGATGGCGCCCTAGGCTATTTCATAAAAGCAGATGACCCTCTAGGATAGTTTTCGAACACCAAATGGTGCTCTGGGCTAATTTTTAACAACATGTGGCACTCTAGGCTAGTTTTTAACAACAGATGGCGCTCTAGGCTATTCCATAAAAGCAGATGGCGCTCTAGGCTAGTTTTTTAACACCAAATGGTGCTCTGGGTTAATTTGCAACAGCAGGTGGCGCTCTAGGCTAGTTTGTAACAGCAGGTGGCGGTCTAGGCTATTTCATAAAAGCAGGTGGCGCTCTAGGCAAGTTTTTAACAGCAGATGGCGCTCTAGGCTTTTCAGAAAAGCAGATGGCGCTCTAGGCTAGTATTTTAACACCAAATAATGCTCTGGACCAGTTTGTAACAGCAGGTGGCGCTCTAGGCTAGTTTTTAACAGCAGATGGTGCTCTAGGCTATTTCATAAAAGCAGATGGCGCTCTAGGCTAGTTTTTTAACACCAAATGGTGCTCTGGGCTAGTTTGTAACAGCTGGTGGCGCTCTATGCTAGTTTTTAACAACAGATGGCGCTCTAGGCTATTCCATAAAAGCAGATGGTGCTCTAGGCTAGTTTTTTAACACCAAATGGTGCTCTGGGTTAATTTGCAACAGCAGGTGGCACTCTAGGCTAGTTTGTAACAGCAGGTGGCGGTCTAGGCTATTTCTTAAAAGCAGGTGGCGCTCTAGGCAAGTTTTTAACAGCAGATGGCGCTCTAGGCTTTTCAGAAAAGCAGATGGCGCTCTAGGCTAGTATTTTAACACCAAATAATGCTCTGTACCAGTTTGTAACAGCAGGTGGCGCTCTAGGCTACTTTTTAACAGCAGATGGGGCTCTAGGCTATTTCATAAAAGCAGATGGCGCTCTAGGCTAGTTTTTTAACACCAAATGGTGCTCTGGGCTGGTTTGTAACAGCTGGTGGTGCTCTATGCTAGTTTTTAACAGTAGATGGCGATCTAAACTATTTAATATAAGCACATGGTGCTCTAGGTTAGTTTTTAACAGTAGATGGTGCTCTAGGCTGTTTTTACAGCAGATGGCATTCTATGCTAGTTTTTAAGAGCACGCTATAGGTTAGCTTTAACATCAAATGGCGCTCTCTGCTACTTTTTAACAGCAGGTGGCGCTCTAGGGTAGTTTTTAACAGCAAATGGTGCTCTAGGGTAGTTTTTAACATCAGGTGGCACTAGGGTAGTTTTAACATCAGGTGGAGCTCGAGGCTAGTTTTTAACACAGTAGATGGCATTCTAGGGCTAGTTTTTAACAGCAGGGGTGCTCTAGGCTAGTTTTTACCAGCAGGTGGCGTTTTAGACTAATTTATAAAAGCGGGTGACATTCTAGGCTATTTTATAAAAGCAGGTGGTGCTGTAGACTAGTTTATTAAAGTAGGTGGCGTTCTAGGCTTTTTTTTTAACAACAGATAACGCTCTGGGTTAATTTTCAACACCAGATGGGCTCTAGGCTAGTTTTAACAGTAGATGGCAATCTAGGTTAGTTTTTAACATCAGATGGCGCTCTAGGCTAGTTATTAGCAGCACATGGCTCTCTAGAATAGTTTTTTAACTGTACATGGCACTCTAGACTAGTTCCTAACAGCACTTGGTGCTCTAGGCTAGTTTTTAACAGCAGATGGTGTTGTAGTGTTGTTTATGTTTCATAAAAGCAGGTGACACTCTAGGCTAGTTTTTAACAGTAGATGGTGCTCGAGGCAAATTTTTAACTTCAGATGGGCTCTATGCTAGTTTTAAACAGCAGATGAGGCTAGTCTATGCAAATTTTAAGCGCAAGATGGGCTCTAGGTTATTTTATAAAAGCAGATGGTGCTCTAGGCCTTTTTTTACGGCAGCCGGCGTTCTAGCCTATTTCATAAAAGCAGACGGCCCTCTAGACTAGATTTTAATCATACACTTAGATGTGCACATGGAAGAGCACTTGTGCATTTAGCTGGGTCATGTAAGTGGGCTTTTATATCATAAGATAAATGTAAACACAGCTCACTATGAAAAATCTCGTAGAGTATGATTTTACATGTTAACCCGGTTAACTACGGGTTGTTTCAATAAACTGATTTCTAAGTTGTCAGTGCATTGGTGTGCATGTAAACGTGCTCTCTGACTGATGATGTTTCCATGTTGTGTCTAAGCTGGCAGATTTATGTCTTAGGGGACAGGTCTCCCCGTGATGACCTCGCCAGGCCTGTCACAAAATGATGGCACACACAGACTCCGGTAAAACAGGAGAAAGGCTGTTTTAGGGTGATGAGATCAGCAGAAGCAGAGCTCAGCTTGCTGTGTTAGCACTGTTTGTTGAGCGAGCAGAATGAAGGGAGTTTCAGGCACCCTGCTGTTGCTCTTCATCCCAGAATGCCTTATTACAGGTGGTGCACAGATGTCAACAAAGACAGAAGGTGCATCCCAAATCACATGTCCATGCACAAAAAGGAAAATTCTGGGCCGAAATTAAAACACTGCAGACAAACACATGTAAATATACAACAAATGAGTTATTATGGTTTGCCTTAATATGGTGAATGTGTGACAATTTTGATCTCAATTCCTTTTTTCTTTAAATGTTTATTTTGTCTTATTTTAAATTGATATTTTTTAAATAATTTAAATAATTTCTTTACAATTCAAGTAATAAAAGACAAAAAAAAGTGATGCACCAAAATGAAAACTCTGGGCCGAAACAACAAACTGTAGATGCACTTGGCCAAGAAATGAAACCAAAGATTCTTTGTAATAATTATTTATTATTTTATTAAATAAAATTGTTATTTTATAAGACTTTTAACTTTAACTCAATAACTTAAATTACGCAGAATTGACAAAAAAACACACAAAAAAAGCACAGTTTTTATGGCTGGAGAGAGAGTGGAAGTGTGCTAAACATTGGTGGCTAGTAGGGATGTAACGGTATCAGAATTTCATGGTACGGTAATACCTCGGTATGAATGTCACGGTACGGTATTTATTGAATCATTTACAGGAAAAAACAAAACTTATGAAAATACTCCAAAAAAGTGCCAAAAGTGTCAATGACATACAAATTAGCCATCTATCTGTAAGCTTTGAAACAGGAACTTCAATTTTAATAACAAAAAAATATTAAACCATGTAAAAAAAATAAAGTTTCAATTTAGTATTGTTGAAAACTCATCACATTCAACATTTAATCACTCACTCACTTAGATAGAGATGGGTTTAAAGGAAAATTATCATATAAATATAATCTGGTAAAAGCTGGTATCTCTGGGCATTTACAATGTCCCCTGCAACAGAAAAAAAACCCTCTCATTTGGGACTGAGGTTTCTGGGACAAGAGAGATATGACTTGGCCCAGGTTGACAGCAGTGGGTAACGTTGTGCATTGTCTTTCCCCCACTTGAGAGGACAAACCATGTGTAAGATAGAGGTCTCATGTCTGCATCAATCTGAACAGTGTGCTGACAACACCGCTATTCAGTACGCGCGCGACAACACAGCTGATAAGAACTCGCGCGACAACACAGCTGATTAGAACTCGCGCGACAACACAGCTGATAAGAACTCGCGCGACAACACCGCTATTCAGTACGCGCGCGGCGACAACACCCGCTTTAGAGTTTTCCAGCTCTTTTCATCCCCGCTTCTAGCAGCACACTCCATTTCCGCATTACTGGATCTGTAGCGACAACAGACCGCAAGGGATGATGGTCAAGCATGGGCTGATGGGAATTGTAGTTTTCGCTACCTCCCGTTCGCTTCATTCGCCTGAGCAAATTTTCTCAGAAGACCTATAGTTTTACCGAGTCATGCGACTTCGGTAATATCGAAAAAAAATAATATTGCAGTATGACGGTATTTACAATACCGTTACATCCCTAGTGGCTAGTGTAACTTTTTTGGATCATATTTTTGACTATTTTTCAAAATTTTCCCATTTTTTTCCAGTCAATTTGCTCAGTAGTTCATGGTGATGTACAGTGGTCCCTCGTTATTTGCAGGAGTTCTAAAAATTACCCGCAATAGGTAAAATCTGTGAAGTAGTCAACTTTTTATTCATTCATTTTCTTTTTGGCTTAGTCCCTTTATTAATTCGGGGTTGCCACAGCGGAATGAACCGCCATAATCAACTTTTATTTTTTACAATGACTATAGATTTTTTAAGGTTGTAAACCCCAGTTTTCTACACTACACAGTTTTTTCAGACAGGCATTAACATTCTTCCTGCAGTCACTGATCCACAAAGCTAAAGCAGACTCCATCTGCTGCGTTCACATAAGACGCGGAATGTGTGTCAAGTGTGAGTGATTTACACGTTAAGTCAATGCAAACGCACGAATAGACATCCTGCGGCGTGATACGCGCGAATGACGCGAATTGCGCGAATGGCATGATACGCGCGAATGGTGCGGCACAAATTGAGCTTTTTGGATGCACCTCTGAAACAATCTAGTGGACTCAGACACTGCCCTAAACGTATCGACGCTGTTTTTCAGCCTTCATAAAGCACATAAACAGTTATTTTCTCAATAAAATCCATGTTAGCCATTTAGCTGTGAAGCTAGAGTCTCTAGGCAGACAGAAGCCCTGCCCATCACGCAAATCCGCGTCTGTTCGGAAATGAATTTAAAGCGCGAATGAAGCGGATTTGACGCGCAAATGAACCGAGTAAACTCAAATGTTCACGCAGCTATTTACGCCCGAATAGCGTGATTTATCTGTGCGTTCCGCGTCTGATGTGAACTCAGCATTATGATGCTCTTGTTGTGGAAAGTTACAACCCTTTGTTAAAAACGTATTGCTGCTGTCGTCCTCATGTTATTCACCTTTTTATTTATGTAACAAACTGAAGATTTATTTATTCTGTAATAGCGCCCTACAGCCACGTAATTTCTACCTTTAGCAACTTTTGTGCAATGGTTAGCATCTTAGCATCTCTCTGCATTGTAGGTGCAACTGCATGTGCCTTTGATGATAATTGTTTAACATTGTGGTGTTTTTTGGGAAAAATCTTGCAAACATGCAGTCAGGGGTGCTTTCAAGGGCCCACACATTTTGGGGGCCCCCGGAGACATTTTCAAGGACCCAACCCCTCCCCCCCCTCTCCACTTTCGTCTGCCCTGCAGCTTCAATCACCCCCTCGCCCCATCGCTCTTCACTTTCTTCCGCAAAACAGAAAAGAAAAGAAACAGAGATAAAAGCAATGCAAAATCAAGGTAAAACTATGTGATCACTGTGCACTTTTAGGTTTGCTTTATTGTAAAGGTTTAAGATTCGCTGGTATAGGTGAACTGTGCTACAACCCTCATCTTCTGGTGGATATGTACACTGAAAAAAAATTATTCGTTGTTATTTACGTGCCAAGCTGCATGCCAAATAATGCCTTATAACACTGTAAAATCTAAAATATGTTTCTCTGATTATATGTCATTACACGTTTCAGAGGAGAAATCCACTAGAGGGCGCTCTACATTTTTGTGAATATGAAATACATAGTGTAAATATTGTTGTACATTTCACATACACACTTAACTTCTATACTGAGCTTGGATTTACAAATTTTTTTAAGTAAGTAGTTGCAAACAGTTTATATGGGCTGAATTTGAACAAACAAATTAAGTTGAACGTTACTAAATTTAATCTTAAATTCAACCCTTATAAATTGTGTCCAACCACTTACCAAAAAAAAAAATAGTAAATCCAATTTCAGTGTACAAGAAGAGTGTATGTGAAAACATTTACCCTAAGTACTGAATTTCAGTTTCAGAAAAATGCAGAGAGCGCCCTCTAGTGGATTTGTTATCTGAAACGTGCAATGAAATATAACCAGAAAAACATGTTTTCTGTTTCACAGTAAAACAGGGAGTTATTTGGGACACAATTAGAGAAAGACGTGTTGTTTGTGAGCATATGTCATGAAGATCTTACCTATGCATGTGCGAGCATCAGCATGTATGCGGAAACCCTCACTGCACTCACAGTGATAGGAACCAAGTGTGTTCACACAAGTCTGCTGGCAGCCGCCATTCATCTCCTCACACTCATCTATATCTGTGAAGACAACATGCAGACACACACATATGTAAATAATACACATCAAATGAGTTATGCTCTGCCTTCACATTGTGAAAGAATATGTGACAATTTTGATCTGAATCCTTTCTTTCTTTTAATGTTTATTTTGTCTTACTTTAAAATGGTGAAACTGATTATTATTTAAATCTGCTTATTCAAATAATTACTTTATAATTCAAGTATTGAAGGCCAAAAATAGTGATGCACCGATATGGAAATTTATATTGATACTGAATACATGTTGATACCTAACCCTAACCGATAACTCTTTATTTTTGAAAGCCAATAACTGATATCTAGGTTATTAAATACAAACTTTTCACAAAATCATTTCATATGACATTCTTTCATTTATGATGTACTCCACTTTTATGTTGAAGACCCTCATGCTGCTGACAGTAATAATTAAATGAATTAATTTAATCAAATTTAGGCAGCACTGTGGCGCAGTGGGTAGCATAAACGCCTCACAGCAAGAAGGTCGCTGGTTCGAGCCCCAGCTGGGTTAGTTGGCATTTCTGTGTGGAGTTTGCAGCATGTTCTCCCTGAGTTTGCGTAGGTTTCCTCTGGGTGCTCTGGTTCCCCCTACAAGTCCAAACACATCCAGTACAGGTGAATTGGGTAAGCTAAATTGTCCGTATTGTACGTGTGTGAATGAGTGTGAATGGATGTTTCCCAGTGATGGGTTGCAGCTGGAAGGGCATCCGCTGCGTAAAACATGCTGGATAAATTGGTGGTTCATTCCACTGTGGCGACCCCAGATTAACAACTGAACTAAGCTGAAAAGAAAATGAATGAATGAATATTCAATTTAATTAGTTCATAAGTTATCCATTGTAATATTTCAGCTTAATTTTCTTATCAAGACAATCATTATAACACTAAAAATATGCATTTATCAGTCAATACCGATATGATCACCGATATATAACTCGCAAACCACTGTGTTGTTGAGATTTAGCCAATTTTATGACTTCAGTCAAACAAAATATTTGTATCGAGTGAATGGGTTAAAGCTTATTATCTTAGAGAAATGACTCTATTAGAAAAGTATGTAATTTTGAATCACAATAATTTGGCACAATAGTTTGTCAATTTATAACAATAATTTGATACAATGTCTGGATTGGTGTTTTAAATTACAGTAAAAAAAATCCTGGTAATAAACTACCAGGAATACTGTTATAGTTATAAAATATATTGTTAAATACAGTTGAAATCAGAATTATTCAAAAAAAAAATATATATATATATATATATATATATATATATATATATATATATATATATATATATATATATATTTTTTTTTTTTTTTTTTTTTTTTTTTTTTTTTTTTTTAAGATTACCCAAATTATGTTTTACAGAGCAAGGTAATTTTTACGTTATGTCTGATAATATTTTTTTCTTCTGCAGAAAGTGTTTTGTTTTATTTAAGGTCAATATTATTAGCCCTTTTAAGCTATTTTTTTTTTCGACTGTCTACAGAACAAACTATAATTATACAGTAACTTGCCTAATTACCCTAACCTGCCTAGTTATCCTAATTAACCTAGTTAAGCCTTTCAATTTCAGCTGTATAGCTGAAGCTGTATAGAAGTGTCTTCATGACAAAGATTAAATAAATCAGTTATTAGAAATGAGTTATTAAAACTATTATGATTAGAAATGTGTTGACAAAATATTCTCTCAGAAATTGAGGGGAAAAAAATAAACGGGGCTAATGATTCAGCGGGGCTAATAATTCAGGGGGTTTAATAATTCTGACTTCAAATGTACTCATATTGTTTCAAACTACTAAAATGTCATTAAAAGTCACTGTTAAACTGCAGAGTTGAATTTTTAACATCAAGTCAACAGAGCAGATATCAAAGTCATTTAATGCAATTCATAAATGAAAATTAAGAGAAATTTATATATATATATATATATATATATATATATATATATATATATATATATATATATATATATATATATATATATATATATATTATTTATTTATTTTTTAAGAATCTGTTTTCATATAGCCGAAACAAATAGTCCAAACAAGTCTTGATTGACCCAGTTCATACGTTTAAGAATGGTTGAGGACTTCACCGACCAGCACAAAAACACTCTCAGCAAAAAACCTTTTATTATCATTATCAAAAGGAAGGTTAGAGGTGATTCAGATATCACAAAGATGTCCAGAAAGCACAAAAGTACCAGAGTAGTTTTTGGTATTTTGCTATAGTGCAGGCAAAAAGTTCAGCATGAAACATTGTCATGTTCAGTGCATTAAAGTTTTACCATAAATAGTAAATGTCAAACTGTCACTATGAAAAATGTGCTTGTATAGTGGACATTACTGGTGACCAACCATGTTTCACGCCGTCCTTTTCTTGATCACTTAAACATATGTTTGCATTGAGAAGCTTATTTGTGGACATAAAAGAAGTCTAAAAAGAAAAGAGCACATTAAAAATAACATGATTAATTGGATTGACATCAATTTATTTAACAAGTGATTGCAATCAACTCACATGAGCTGACTTTAAAGAAAGTAAGTTGAACATACAAAATTTTATTTGTTTGTTTAAATTCAGCCCATATAAATTGTTTGCAATTACTTACCTTAAAAAAAGGATAAATCAAATGAGTCACCGTGTACTGTTGACATGTGTCTGTAGTGGACATAAGTTCATTCATCATCACATCTTTAGCTTAAATTCCTGTTCTAAAATGTCTGATTCATAATTCACAGACAAATCCATGTTTTTCATACATGAGTTTGTGTTCGTGAAATGTAAGAAAGAAATGTTTACAAAATCAACATTGCATACGTCACAGTCATGATATACTGCTGGAAGCTCTTGTAAATGTTCAAAAAGGCCATTTGCAATTTCCTCAGTGCTGCATGGGTTTTGTCAGACTATTTGGGTTAAGTGCTTTAACACACCGCCTGCCTCATGACTAGATTATTGAATGTGGTTCCTTGCCGCAAATTAACCCTTCTGACCCTAACAAATTCACTTACAGCTGTCCAGACTATTTCCCACAAATCTACAGCGGTTTAAAAAAAAGTCAATGTTGCAAGAGTGACACTGTGATGCCGTTTACAATAAATGACTGGATAATGAATGAAATCCTCCTAAAAAGAAATCTTTTTCATTTAAACTGTTTACACTTCCACATAGTTGTTTGCTTGAATGTTACAGTTGAAGTCAAAATGATTCGCCCTCCTGTGAATTTGTTTTTCAAATATTTCTCAAATTTTGTTTAACAGAGCAAGACATTTTTCACAGTATTTCCTTTAATATTTATTCTTCTGGAGAAAGTCTTTTATTTCGGCTAGAATAAAAGCAGTTTTACATTTTTTAAACACCATTTTAAGGTCAAAATTATTAGACCCGATAAGCAATATTTTTTTCAATGTGATGATGTTTAAAAGCAAAGACATTTTTCACTGTATTTCCGATAATATTTTTTCTTCTGGAGAAAGTCTTATTTGTTTTATTTCGGCTAAAATAAAAGCAGCTTTTAATTATTTTAAAATATATATTTTAAGGTCAATAATATTAGCCGAAAGAGAGGTGGAGGTAAGACTTGTGATTTTTAATCTTTGGGTAATTGTCAAATGTAGAAAACTTTTAATGTCAACTTTTAGAGTTTTATTGTATTGATGTACACCTGATTAATGATAATAGTTGATACACTTTATCTCTGTAGAGTGAGGTCGGAAATGGGAAGAATGTTTATTGTCATTGCTGTGAAGATTATAAGTTATTGTGTGATTAATGAATAATAATATGAGAGTGACGGTTTAACTAATTGCACATTGTGATGGACTCTGGAATAAAAGGGTGGAGTTAGAGAATTGTGTCACACACTGAGGAAGGCTTTGTGCCGAAATGTCTGTTTGTCTGTTATCACCCGTAAAATGTAAGAAAAAGAAAAAAAAAAAACAGTACGAAGCAATTAAGTGCGAATCATTACCTTCTTTTGAACAATAATATTAGCCCCCTTAAGCATTTTTTTTCTTGATTGTACACAGAGCAAATCATCATTATACAAAGACTTGCCTGTTTATCTTAGGTTCCCAAATAACCTAATTAAGCCTTTAAATGTCACTTTAAGCTGAATACTAGTATCTTGAAAAATATGTAGTCAAATATTATTTGCTGTCATCATGGCAAAGATAAATTAAATCAGTTATTAGAAATGAGTTATTAAAATTATTATGTTTAGAAATGACTTCAACTGTATTTGTCCATGCTAATAAATATAAATAAATTACTGGCAACAATGCAGTATTAACTTTAGAGTCTACCTAACATGAAAAGTACTTATAAGCCATTTTAATCTTGTTTGATGTTGATGAATTCATTATTAGCGTTTAAACTCCTTATAAAAGTGATTTTTGCATAATAGGCCCCTATTTTAAACTTGACTTCAAAAACATATTATTAACAGAAAAAATGCAAGTTTTTACCTACCTTGGCAAGATTTCCCATCATCTCTGAGTTTACTGCCGCCAGGACATTTGCAGAAATAGCTGCCGATAGAGTTACAACATGTGCCTTCACAACCTCCATTACTGACCGCACACTCATTTATGTCTGAGAAAGAAAGAAAAACAGTGAGCATCAAATATGTGTTTTATTGTGCAATGAGTTGTTCAATATGATATACAGTTGAAGTCTTTGATTTTTCTTTCTTTTTTAAATATTTCCCAAATGATGTTTAACGGAGCAAATAAATTTTCACAGTTCTGGAAAACACCCATACACTCTCACATTCACACATACACTACGGCCTATACGCATGTCATTGGACTGTGGGGGCAGCCGGAGCACCCAAAGAAAACCCATGACAATACGGGGAGAACATGCAAACTTCACACAGAAATGCCAACTGGCCCAGCCGGCACTCAAACCAGCAAGCTTCTTGGTGTGTTAACCCAATAAAGGTTAAGAATAACCCAACAATGCAACAATTTTTTATTTCAACTGGTTGAGTTATTGATAAATGACCCAATAAAGGTTGAAAATAACTCAACAAAGCACCAAATATGTAATCCAACTGGTTGAGTTATTAATAAATAACCCAAAAAAGGTTAAAAACAACCCAACAAAGCTTTAAATATTTTAACTCAACGATTGGGTTAAATAAATAACTCAAAGTTGTTTAGAGTGTGGCTATTTCCCCCTGATAATGACTTTTCTGTCCATCTGGTCAATCTGTCTTTTCTTATCCATCTACTTCCTCTTTACATTTTGAATGTTTTCCCCTCTCTGCATGCTGTTTGGATCTGTAAAAGACTTTCTGCAATAATATTTCCTGTCTGGTGTCTTTACATAGGATGGCTCGCAGTCATTTTAGCGTAGCTGTAAAAAAATGTCATCACACAGACATAAACAGACAAACCACACAAAAAAACACTCGACCAGGTAATAAGTCCAAGATGGTCCGTACAGCTGCTAAACAGGTTTTCAGCAGATACACACACCAACAAAAGTATGCAAAAAGCATTAAAGGTTTTTTTTTTTTTTTTACAGATCTGCCAGTGTGTCTTTCTGTACAGCCTCAGAAACCAAGGATGGGTCGCCATTGGAGGATTCAGGCCACACCCATGCTTGGTTTCTAAGGCAACACAGGATCGTCAGATGTTATGATAAAACTTAAATACTATGCATATTTATCAATATGAGGGATTAGTGTAAACTGTAAAAGTACTAAACCAGAAGTTCTAGTGCTGTATTCACTATGAATAACGTTTATAACTAGAAAAGTAAAGTTTGTAGACAAACTTTATGGTGGTTTGAGAGCCTCGTCTAAAAGTCTGAAGTAGTTTCAAAGTTTAAATAACTGAAGTAGTTTTTAAAAAGTTTGAAACAGTTGGCATAGAGAGAAAAGTATGGATTGACACGTTTCTTGCTAGGTGGTTGCTTGGGTGTTCAGAGTGGTTGCTAAGGCATTGCTCGCGTGTTCTGAGTTGTTAAGGTGTTGCTAGGTGGTTGCTAGGGTGTTGATAGTGATTGCTAGGCCTTTGTTGTTAAGGCATTGCTAGAGTGTTTTGACTGGTTGCTAAGGCATTGCTGGCGTGTTCTGAGTCGTTAAGGTGTTGATAGGCGGTTGCTAGGGTGTCCCAAGTAGCTGTAAAGGTGTTGCTAGGCGGTCGTTTTGTTGTTGCTATGCGGTTGCTGGGGTGTTCTGAGTAGTTGCTAGGGTATTGCTAGGGTGTTTTATGTTATTGCTTAGTGATTGCTATGCTGTTCCTAGGTTGTTCTAAGTCAGGGGTGTCCAAACGTGGTCCTGGAGGGCCGGTGTTCTGCAGATTTTAGATCCAGCTTGCCTCAACACACCTGCAAGGATGTTTCCAGAAAGCCTAAGAGCTTGATTAACTAGCCCAGGTGTGTCTGATTGGGGTTGGAACTAAACTTTGCAGGACACCGGCCCTCCAGAACCGAGCTTGGACATGCCTGTTCTAAGTGGTTGCTAAGACGTTGCTGGGCAGTTGCTAGGGTATGAAATAGCATGTTGCTAGTATGTTTATAGTGTGAATTAGCATGTTGTTAGTATGATTAGTTTGCTTGTTAGTATGTTTCTAGTGTGAATCAGTATATTGTTAGTATGGATTGGCATGTTGTTGGTATGTCCAATGTAAAGTCAATGGCAGATTTTTATAATGGAGGTCTATGGGACAGTTGCTAGGGTGTCGTAAGTGGTTGCTAAGGTGTGGCTAATAAGTTGAAAGGTCATCATTGATTGGCAGATTGGTAGTCTGCGTTAAATGAGCCCAGCCTTAAGTCTGGCGCAAAGTTATGAGGTCACAAAGTTTGGTCCAATGTTAAGTCAATCAGACTTTTCTGAATTTTCCGGGTCAGTTTTGGGAAAACCGTAAGTCTGATCAGTTGGAAAAGATATAGTAACTTAATTGAGTATAGTTTGGATGTTTGGAGTTAGTTTGATAGTTGAACGCTTTAGGAGGAGTTGGGTTCTTAAAATAGTTGAAGAAGAAGAAGACAGAAGAATGTTACGTTTTTGTAGTATTACGTTCACACCGAAAGCCGAAAAGTAGCCAGAAGACATTTACTTTCAATGGGAGCCGGCCGCGAGGAGCAGCGCGGTGTCAAGGAGAGTTGAATTCAAGTCAACTGAATGTTAATGAGCTAGACGCAGTTCGGCGGCAAGCAATCGGAATGTAGAAGTTTACCGCTTAAGCAGATTCCAAAGAACACAGACCTGTGGAGTTTTGTTCTGATCAAAGTTGTTGCCAAGTTTGATTATTGCGGTCGCCGGTTTTCTAATTATTTGTAATGTTTTCTTACCAAAACATACAAAAGTTACTGGTGAGTTACTGATGTGCATTAATGTTATAGATATTTTCTTTCTTTAAAAAAGTGGGAATCTCATGCAACATTACAAACAGTATTGCTGCTTCAGGATATTTCAGACATATGGAAACATTGGATATTTAAGTGGAGCAAAGCCACACCACGTGCAACTTGATCTTCCATTCTTAAATGAATTTGATAAAAAGTGTGCAACATTCTCACGCTAGAAAGCATGTTTTATGCGGGAATGTAACTGATAGAATATGCTGCAATGGCCCCTTTATATACGAGATCAATGTAACGAATTTTCACGCTCTCGCCGCCAGAGCTGAAGGCAGACAGCGTTGACGCCAGGGTGGCCAGAGCGACCTTTGATGCTCTCACTGCTTTTGGTATGAACTAACAGTAACAGTATGTTGGCCATCTGAAGCCATTTTAACATATATGCTACACAAAGATTTGAAGGGAAAGTTAAACCTACTGTAGGCCAATGTCCTAACAAAAATATTCAATGTCATATGATTTATTGCATAACAATAGGATAACTAGGGGCAGCACGGTGGCTCAGTGGTTAGCACTGTCGCCTCACAGCAAAAAGGACGCTAATTAGAATCCCGGCTGGGCCAAAACTCATCTGTTTTCTCTTTTCTGATCTTGTGGAGTCACATCTTCCTGACAGCCTTTGACTCAACAACACGACACTGACCTTGAGCAAGCGCTACATAGTAATACACAGCGCTGACAGCATCTTTCCTGTGGAACCACAAGAACAGATTTACAGATGTACTGGAGTTAGGTGCTCTATCTGTGGTTATTACATTAGAGAGCGTTTGGCAAGATCCGACAGTCACTGTTTCAAAAAGGAAGTCAAGACCAGATAAAATAATTTATGGTTATTAGTTTTCCTGGGTTGCTCTGATCACCAAACATTCACTTAATCTCTCTTAAGAGACAGAGGAAATACTTTAAATGTCTTCCAGTCAACTTTGACCATGCATACAGTATGTTTAAATATCTAAGACAGACTGAAGAATGAGGAAAACTTAGAAAGCAAGTGTAATAACAGCTAAACAGAAATTCTATCTATAATAAAGGAAATAAATAAAATGCAACATCATGAGGGTGACTAATGGATGACAGAATGTTATTTTATTGTTAAACTTTTACTTTAAGTGATTTAATAACTCCTACAATAAAAAAGAAGTACTTTAAAGGGGTGGTCCACTATGATATCATATTTTAAGCTTTGGTTGATGTGTAATGTAGCTGTGTGAACATAAACAACATCACTGAATGTAAAAAGTTCTAGGTTCAATGCAAAGGGAAACCTTGGTTTTCACAGAGTTAGCTTAGGTAAGCCTACAATGAACGAATTTTGGGGACTACAAAAAATAATTCCGTCGCCTGTGAGATCACAATGGTTCGTTTGCTGCGCACACAAACTGCGCAGCTAAGGGCCGTGGCCAGAGGCGTTGTAACGTTACAGCAGAGATAAAGCTAAAATGCGTCCAAACGCTGCTGTTTCCACAGAGCCTCGTCTTTTTCTGTATTTGGGCTTCCAAAGGACACGACACAAAGACAGAAGTGCTTACAGTTCAATATTAATTATGTTCCAGAGAATTATAAAATACATAGCAAGCATGATTTGACAAAACAGCTTCCAGAATCTCTCCCAGTTCAGTGCTGGATTCGGCTAAAATATCCTCAAAGCAGAAGTTGTCAACTACAACCTCTACAACCAGTGTTTTTATTTGTTAAAATTGATCATGACATGTACAGGATCTAGCGTTGACGTTATACTGTAGCAACGATGTAAACAATGGCAAATGCTTTGCACCGCAAACGATTTAGCTACAAATTCATATTAATCAGTCAAACTGCTATAAACACACACACACACACTTCACCAGCACGTTCGTGTCTTTTATGTGTGTGCGCGACTTTGCATTGATTGGCTTTAGGCAGCTTTTCCATGCGTTTCACATCTCAGATAATGAAGTCGCAAAAGATATGTGGATGATTCATATTACTTACACCTGCTTATTCCGGATACATGTGAAAGCCGTCGTGTAACGCGTTGAGTTAAAAAAATACAGGAGAACTCACCTAACTCGTGGTAGCAGCAGAAAAATAAATCAAGGCTCACACAGGTCTCATCCCACATCTTGTGCTTTATTCTTCTGTCACGATATAATACAGAAAATAACTTAATCCAAGCATAAGAGAAAATGAAAAAAAAAAGTCCTGTGCACATGCACTTGTTACAGAAAGTTCACACATTC